TAAAAAAAAAAAAAAAAAGACAAACAAAACTGGCCAGGCATGGTGGCTCATATCTGTAATCCCAGCACTCTGGGAGGCAGAGAAGGGAGGATCACTTGAGGCCAGGAGTTCGAGAACAGCCTGGGCAACATAGTGAGACCACCACTCTATAAAAAAATAAGAAAAATTAGCTGGGCATGGTGGCATACACCTATAGCCCCAGCTACTCAGGAGGTTGAGGTAGAAAGGTTGCTTGAGCCCAGGAGTTCAAGGTTGCAGTAAGCTATGATCACACCACTGCATTACAGCTGGGGCAAGAGAGCAAGCCCCTGTCTCTTAAATAAATAAATAAATGGTAAACAAAATTGACAAAGCTTTAGCTAGACTAAGAAAAAAAAAGACAGAAGACCCAAATAAATAAAAGCAGAAATGAAAAAGGAGACATGACAAGTGATACCATGAAAATACAAACAATCATTAGAGACTGTTAAGAACAACTGTATGCCAACAAATTGGAAAACCTAGAAGAAATGGATAAATTCCTGGACACATACAACTTACCAAGATCGAATTCTGAAGAAATAGAAAAGCTGAACAAACCAATAATGAGTAATGATATTGAAGCCACAATAAAAAGTCTTCCATCAAAGAAAAGCCAAGGACCTGATGGCTTCACTGCTGAATTCTACCAAACATTTAAAGAACTAATACCAATTCTACTCAGACTCTTAAAAAAAAAAATCAAAGAAGAGAAAGTACTTCCAAACTCACTCTATGAGGCCAGCATTACCCTAATACCAAAACTGGATAAGGAATAACAAAAAGAAAAAACTATAAGCCAATATCCCTAATGAATATAGATGCAAAAATCCTCAAGAAAATACTAGCAAACTGAATTTAACAACTCATTGAGAAGATCATTCGCCATGATCAAGTAGAATTCAACCTGCAGATGCAAAGATGGTTCAACATATACAAATCAGTAAACACGATACATCACATTAACAGAACCAAGAAAATCATATGATCATTTCAATAGATGCTGAAAAAGCATATGGTAAAATTTAAAATTCCTTTATGATAAAAACACTCAACAAACTGGGTATAGGAGGAACATGCTTTAAAACAAAAAAGGCCATATATGACAACCCAGAGTTAACATCACACTGAACAGGGAAAAATTAAAAAGCCTTTCCTTTAAGATCTGGAATAAGACAAGGATGCCCACTTTTACCACTTTTATTCAACATAATACTGCAAGTCCTGGCCAGAGCAATTGGACAAGAAAAAGAAATAGCATCCAAATTAGAAAGAAAGAAATCAAAATATCCATGTTTGCAGATAATATGATCTTATATTTGGAAAACTTTAAAAGCACCACCAAAAAACTATTAGAACTGATAAACAAAGTCAGGGCAGTTGCAGGATACAAAATCAACATAAAAAAAATCAGTGGCATTTATATACACCAATAGCAAACAATATGGAAAAGAAACCAAGACAGCAATCTCATTTACAATATCTACAAAAAATATAAAATATCTAGAAATAAATTTAGCCAAATAAGTGACAGACCTCTGTAAGAAAAACTATAAAATTCTGATGAAGGAAACTGAAGAACACACACAAAAAATGGAAAGATATTCCACGCTCATGCATTGGAAGAATTAATATTGTTAAAACGTCAATACTACCAAAAGTGATCTACAGATTCAATGCAATCCCTATTAAAATACCAATGACATTCTTTACAGAAATAGAAAAAATAATCCTAAAATTTATATGGAACCATAAAAAACCTTGAATAGCCAAAGCAATTCTGAGCAAAAAGAACAAAGCCAGAGGCATCATGCTACTTGACTTTGAAATACACTACAAAGTTATTATAATGAAAACAGCATGGTACTGGCATAAAAACAGATACATAGACCAAAGGAACAGAATACAGAACCCAGAAATAAATCCATGCATTTACAGCCAACTCATTTTCAACAAGGATGCCAAGAACATACATTGGGGAAAGGACAGTCTCTTCAATAAATGGTGCTAGGAAAACTGGATAAATAGGCCAATAGGCATATAAAAAAATACTCAACATCATTAATCAACAGAGAAATGCAAATTGAAACCACAGTATCATCCTACACCAATCAAAATAATACCATTAAAAAGACAAAAAGTAAAAGATGTTAGTGAGGATACAGAGAAAAGGGAACTCTTAAAACTGTTGGTGGGAATGTAAATTAGTGTAACCTCTACGGAAAACAGTATGGAGATTTCTCAAAGAACTAAAAATAGAACTACCATACGACCCAGCAATCCCATTTCTGGGTATCTACCCAACGGAAAAGAAATCAATATATAAAAAAGGTATCTGTATTCCTATGTTTACAGCAGCACTATTCATAATAACCAAGATATGGACTCAACCTAAGTGTCCATTAACAGGGGATTGGGTAAAGAAGATGTGGCATATATACACAATGGAATACTATTCAGCTATAAAAAAGAATAAAATCATGTCTTTTGTAGCAAAATGGATGGAACTGCAGGCCATTATCTTAAGTGAAACCAGTCAGACACAGAAAAACAAATACTGCATGTTCTCACTTGTAAGTGGGAGCTAAATAATGTGTACACAAGGAAGCCGAGTGTGGAACAATGAACAATGGAGACTTGGAGGGGTGAGGAGTGGGGGTTGGGAGAGCAGTGGATAATGGAAGGTTGCTTGGTGGATACAATATGTGTTGCTTCAGTGATCTATTTACTAAAGATACTTGCAGATGGAGACTTAAAGAAAGAAAAAAAATTCACTGAAGGCCCTGACTTCACTGCTATGCAATATATCAATGAAACAAAATTGCACTTGTATCCCATGAGTATATACAAAAAAAATTAATGGGAAAAAGCAAACAAACTGGGTAACTATATGCAGAATAATGAAACTAGACTCCTATCTCTCACTATATAGAAAATTCAAATAAAAATGGATCAAAGTCATAAATCTAAGACATGAAACTATGAAACTAATAAAAGAAAACATTGGAGAAACACTCCAGAACATTGGTATGGGCAAGGATTTTTTGAGTGAGACTTCAAAAACACAAGCAACAAAAACAAAAATAGACAGATGGGATTGCATCAAGCTAAAAAGCTTCTGCACAGCAAAGGAAACAACAAAGTGAAGTGACAACCCAAAGAATGGGAGAAAATATTTGCAAACTATCCATCTGACAAGGAATTAATAATCAAAATACATAAGGAACTCAAACAACTCAATAGAAAAAACCACAAATGATCTGATTTTAAAATGGGCAATAGATTGAAAAGGCATTTTTCAAAAGATGACATACAAATGGCCAACAGTTATATGAAAAAATGCTCACCATCACTAATCATCAGGGAAATGCAAATCAAACCACAATGAGATATCACCTCACTCCAGTTAAAATGCCTTTTATTAAAAAGATAGGGAATAACAGATGCTGGTGAGGATACCAAGAAAGAACCCTTGTACACTGTTTGTGGGAGTCTAAATTAGTACAGCCACTATGGAAAATAGTATGGAGGTTTCTCAAAAAACTAAAAATAGAAGTATCATATGATCCAGCGATCCCACTGCTGGGTATATGTCCAAAAGAAAGGAAATCAATATATCAAAAAGATATCTGTACCCCTATGTTTATTGCAGCACTACTCACAGTAGCCAAAATATGGAATCAACCTAAGTGTCCATCAATGGATAAATGGACAAAGAAAATGTGGTATATATACACAATGGAATATTATTCAGCCATAAAAAAGAATGAAATCCTGTCATTTACAGCAATATGACTACAATTGGAAGTCACGATATTAAGCAAAATAAGCCAAGCACAGAAAAGTATTGTGTGTTCTTACTCACACGCGGGAGCTAAGAAAGTGGATTTCATGAAGACAGACTGGTGCTTACCAGAGGCCAGGAAGGGTAGGGGGGAGGGAGAGATTAAGAAAGGTTGACTAACAGGTACAAAAATACAGTTAGATAGAAGAAACAATTCCTATAGATTTATAGAGTGTCTATAATAGACAATAATCTACTACATATTTTGAAATAGCTAGTAGAGAATAATTTGCTCCCAGCATAAAGAAAAGATAAATGTTTAAAGTGATGGATGTCCCAATTACCCTGATTTGGTTATTACACATTATATGAACGTACCAAAATATCACATATACCCCCAAAATATGTTCATCTATTACGTATCAATTAAAAAAAGATTATTGGTGATTTTGGAGGGCAGATGATGGTATCATCTTAATAATAAAATCCCATATTTTAGTCATACAATTGAAATATTTGGAGATTAGTCATATGATATTTAGGATTTGCTACAAAGTATCCATGGGGCAGGGGTTTGGAAGTATGGGGAGTTAGAGAGAAAAGACTGGCTGTAAATTGATAATTGCTGAAATTGGGTAAAGGGCATTTTTGTATGTGTTAGAAATTTTCTACAACAAAAACTGTTTTTCCTAACATTTTTTCATGAACATTTTCAAACATAGACAATTTGAAAAGAATTATACAGTGAAAACCCATATATCTACCACCTAGATTCTACAATGAGTATTTTTGCTCTATTTGTTTTAGGTGTCTATCTAGTAAAAAAAGATTACAAAAATCTTTACTATTTTAAATGAAAGGTAAAAATGTGTCCTATATTGTTTTGATGTTAATTACTCTGAACTGTAGTGCAATTCTTAGAAAGTTTATAAATTGTTTGTGGTAACAAATTCCATTCTGACCATGCCACATAATTCCTATTTTAAATAATAAAAGTAATATATACTTGTAAAAATCCAAATAACCTGGAAACATAGAGAGAAAGTACCTCCTTATGCTTAGGGCCTATGAAGTGGTGCGTTCAGAGTCCACGTGGTAAGTGGCCCAGGAGTGGTGTGCATAGCAGCACTCACCACCCTCCCATTCCCAGGAGGAGTTGAAGAGTTAAATTTTAAAGATAATAAACACTGTAACTTACCATGCTTCCAACTGCCATCACTACCAAAAAACTGCACCACTATTCTCACAAAATCCTTAGCATTAAAACAAATAACAGGGCATTTACATTTCAGTGTTTGAAATAACACGTTCCTAGAAAATAAAAAGAAATTCACTGATTTAGACATTAATTTAGAACTTTCAACCTTGGAAAAATATTATTACTACTCTACTAATAGCTATCATTTAGATCAGAGGTAGGGAATATTTTCATGTTGGAAGGCCACATTAATTTAGCTATAATCAAATATGGCCACATTCAGAAACTTCAATTATACTTAAAAATGTACATTATTCTGTAAAACTCTAACTACTGTGTAATTAATAATTTCAAAAACTGAAAGCTATTTGTTAATTTTAAAGTTAACTAACCTTTTAATGACTTTGTTGTGTCTGCTATTTGAATATTTGGTTGTAGCATGGAGGTCTGCAGTGTCAGTTGATCCTCTAGAATGGGCATCAGTCATTTGTGACCTTAAGAGCATCTTGATTTGGGTTAGGTAGGACAATGTAGATTCGCAGCAATAAGTGGTTGAAAAGCAAGAAAGCATTTTTGGGGCATGTTGCCAAAGGCATGGGTATTCTACTGTATTTTTCCATATTTCAATTGGATCTTTCTTAGCATCAAACAATGACTTTAAAATGTCATCTACTAAGAGCTCAATGAATTCCATCTGTAGTTCTTTAGGTGCCTTGGTGATATCAACTCAGTGAGGATGAAATACTAATTTGAGTGTGATGTGATTTCAGTCAGTGAACCTTTCATTGTATTCTTCAATTAATAGATCTATAACAGCTGTGTATTCTTCGAATGATTCGCACATATCATCCTGTTCATCATTGACCTTTGCTAACTGGGGAAAATATTCATCCAAAATTTCCTTTTGAAGAAGAAGTATTTTGAATAAAGATAGCTTTGCCACATACCATATATAGACTTAGTTTTACCTTGCAAAGAAATATTCAAGTCATTTTGATTTGATGTGATTATCGCACAGAAATGCTGCATTCCTATAGTAATCTTATTTCAATAATTCACATGCTGATTCTGTTCCTCATAAAATTTAACTATCTGTTCTCTCAGAGATAAAATTTTAGTTAACAACTGTCCCTATGATAGCCAACATACTTTAGAACAAGGCAAATCCACACTGGATACCTCATCATTCAACTTTAGCGTGTTTTGAAACTGACTATGCCATGTTGCATTTGCACAAATATAGTTAACAACACTTATAACTTGTTGCAAAGTGTCACTTAAAATAGTAGCTTTAGCACAGAGATTTTGCTAACATAAGACACAATGAAAAGAAATGAGAGCATCTGGGTCTGTAAATACTTTTTTTTTTTTAATCTGTGCAATAAACCTTTCATGTTTTCCTGTCATGGAAAGTGCACCGTCTGTACATATACACTCACTAAATTTACCAAATTCAGTCCAACTTCACGACGTTTATCTTGAAAGTTGTTGAAGATATCTATTCCCCGTGTTCTGTTCACAAGAGTGCCAGAAGCAAGTAATTCTTTGTAGCAAAGAAAATTTTCTAGTATAAAATCTAGCCGAGTCAGTAGTATCAGTTGGTTCACCCAAAGCAACTGAATAATATATATTTTCCTTTTGAAGTATTGTATGAAGTTGTTAAGTTGAAGGCTAATTCATGCTGGTGATCATTATGGTTCTCCTTGAAGGAGGCCGTTGCTTGTACTTTGAAATTTTACCAGGGTCTAAGCATGCTACAACTGTGACAA